CGGCCTCCAGAAATTCAGGGGTGGACGCTGGTCTGGTTGCGGCACCGGCGGCGGTGATTTGAGGCAGCAAACGGGAAACACTGCGGACGGGTGAATCCAAAGCTGCGATTTCAGGCACATTCGTAGCCTTGGGAAATCCTGCAGTGGCGGCAGGTTCCCTCGGTGGAGCTGCACCCCACCCGCGGACTGAACCCCACAGGGAGTGGGGAGACCCCCAGGGCCTCCCCGGGGCGCCACGGGATGAAGCCACCGCAAAGCCGGGGTCGGTCCCGTCTCCCAGCGGCCATAGCCAGGGGACGCCCGCCTTCCTGACCCCTGGGGGGCCCCTCCCGGACACCCGCGTCCTGGCCCACCTGGGGGGTCTCAGAGCGGCCGCAGGATGGACCGAGACCCCTGTCCCGTCCCCCCACCTGCAAGATGGCCGCGGGGACCCAGGGCAGACCCCGCCGGCCAGCCCACGGCCCCACCCCGGGCTTCCTCGGAGGAAGCTCTCGTGCGGGAGGAACCGAAACTCGTGTGTGCTGCAGACGTGCCGGCTACTTGGGGACCGGCCGGTGCCGATGAGTCACGGTGTAAACACGGTCAGCCGGGCATGACCGGGCCCTTGCCGCCGTGTGCTGAGGTGTCCGGGAAGGACACACCGGCCAGGCCTGAGGCTTTGAGCAGCTTCCTCAGCCTTGCAGGGACCTTGCGTCTCTGCTCTGCGGTTGTGCAGAAAGAGGAACCGTCCACATGCCGGCGGGCACGGAGCGTCCAGCGGACGGACACGCTGTGCCCTGCCGCGGCCAGAAACGCCTTCCCGGCCCCCCACGCGGACGAAGCCCGGGAACCGAGGCCCGGCCCGGTCTCCCCGGGTGAGGCCCCGGGGTGAGACGCCGGCCGTGGCCACTGCAGGGGTCACTTCCCCTGAACCCAGGGTGGGGAGCGCCTGGCCGGCCCCGGGGACTCTGAAAGTCCCTCTCCAGGGAAGCCTCGGTCCCTGGCCCCGGGGTGCCGGTCACAGCGGACACCCGTGACCTCCCAGACGGGGGCGTCCAGAAGCAGCCACGGGGCCCGGCTTGGGGGGGCCGGGCCGGGCCACGGGGTGGACGCAGACGCATCGTACGGGGTCACCGAAGTTGGGGGGTTCCCAAGCCTTCCGGCCCTCGGGGAGATTTCCCAGCTCTGCAAAACCAGCCGTGAGGGTATACACAGCTGGGGTCCCCGCTCCTGCTCCCCTTTTTCGCTCCAGCACCCCGGCATTGCCTCCTCCCGTGGGGTCCCCTCGCAGGACACCCTCGATCTTCAGGGATGCGCCCTGATACTCCTGAGACTCAGTTTCCCCACGTGGAGCGCTGCCCCTCACAGTCAAGCACTACTGGCTCATCCTCCCGGCCCCCGACCCTCCATTTCGTGCCAGGTCTGTGCACCCCTTTCTGGGGCCCCCGGGACGGGAACCACCAGGATTTGTCCTTCTGTTTGTGCCCCCAGTGCCTCAGCGTCGTGTCGTTGGGGTTTGTCCCTGTGGCCGCTGTGCCGGGAGTTTCTTCCTTTTTCATGGCCGAGTAATATTCCGCAGATGCTTACATAGAGCTACCGTGTGACCCAGCAGTCTCTTTCTAGGTATCGACCCCAAAAGGGTTCACAGTGGGGTCTTGGGGAGACGCCTGCTCCCCACGTTCACGGCAG